ATTAAGCTAGTCTCGTACTATATATTCGTATACCTTCTATTACTTTAGCTAGTTCGAGTGCTGAGAAAAAGTATGTTATGTTATCACAGTTCCTAAGTACCTTTTGTATTGGTAAGTCATACAAAAGATACTTAATTTTCTAGAATTTTGCGTTCGGTGGGAATTTTGTGTTTGCCGGGGCGCACCAACACCAGGGGACCTGGTGTTGGGCGCTTGGCACGGATACAGGCTTTTTCCTACCTCTAGAAGTCGCTTTGTCTCCACCACGGTTGAATTACGCACGCGATAAGCTGACTGCATGGGCTATCTAGTTTCCCCTATCCTCAGGCTAATAAGTAGTCGTGAATGACTTAGGAATCTACTGCGAACTCTTGAGTATGGAGAATCCTCTTTGGAACCACAAGCTATCGTGCTTTACCCTCAGGGCCTCAGTAACTTCTAATTTATTGAGATAATCTGTTTATCAAAATCGCGGACCGAGAATCTGGCAAACAAATTGGTCCGATCAGCTTTCTGCCAGCAGATCCCGGGTTTCGGAAAATACTTTCTTCCGGAAAATGACTCAGGTCTCACATTCAGGTACATACTAGCCCAAAGCGGTTAGCGCTTGTCTTTACTCTAATCAGAGTCGCCCGCCATCCTTTCCGAGTCAGTTTCTATAAGTAACGCCGCGGAATCCCTGCAAGATTTATGTGTCACGTATGTAGAATCATGCTCTTATTCCTAGAGGCTAAAGTGGTCTGGGATCAGTGCTTAAAGCTCATAAGAGGGTAAAGGGACATACCTGCATAGTTGAATCCCTCGCCAAGAATAGGCTCTGTGGGCGGTACAAAAACTGCCTTCATTGATAGGAACGGCAACGGTAATTTGTTTAGGGACTGCCAGAAGACCCGACGTCGGGTTGAGGTATTTATAGGCAAAGGGCTTGCGTGATCGTGGTAATCTTTGATTGAGTTCCCGGGCTTGGGCGGGCCTTGATGGCAAAGATGATGGGCACGATCAAGCTTCCCAGCAGAAAAAGAAAAGCAATAATGAAAAGGCAGACAGTTGAACATGAGCTAGAATGTATTTGTACTAAGACTTGGCCTTCGGTAACCCACAGCTCTCAAAATACATGTAAATTAAACGAGCGTGTCCCCGATCTATTCTGCCTCCTTCCGTGGTACAAAATTCGTAGTTATATCGCCTCCGAGGCTAACAGAGCCTCTTTTGCATCCAAAATTCTTTCGTAAACGCCTTCCCTTGACATTAGGGAACCATTCTTTTCAGGACATTTTGCCAAGGAACTTACCAGAAAGTGGCCAGCGGGTTCGTAGGTGTCGAAGTAGCCATCTTAACATAGTTATGCTCTCTCTGATCTCTGCCGACGGGTTTCCTTTCCCAATAGTCAAAAGCGCCGAAAGTCCTTGATACACAACTCCCACCAGAAGAAATGTACATTGACCCTCCTGTAAGTTTATCGAATAAGATCCTTGCTGGATTCCAAATGCGGTTTGGCAAAGCGTGTCGAGGGCATTATGAGTCTCGACATATGTATGCTGCTGCGCCTCTTGTCGAGATCGCATATTCAACTGCTGCCAGTAATGTTCTTGGAGGAGGAAGACACCGCTGCCATCAATGGGTAAGATTTTGAGTTTGCTCCTGAGCGGCTTAGCAACGGCTGTCTGCCAGTGCTTACCTGTAAGAAATCAGGCTTTGGCAGCAGAAGGGCAGCCTGCGGACTGTGACTTCCAATTCATTAGCACGAGCTAGGGCTTCGAATGTGCGACATAGTTGTGCTATCTCCGATGATAAGCTGGACTTGCTGAGATCAGTAGAGACTGCAGAAAAGGATCTGATGTTAGCGAGGGCCTGGCTGATCAGGTACGTTGTCTGAGCTAGTCTGCCGAAATGACCAATTTTGAATTCGAACCCCTGGGATATAGGGACCGCATCCTCCGGCTCCGAGGTCTATAATATCCAAGTCAGAACGCTCAGTCTTGCAGTAGAAGAGAAATGGTTCTGACCGCGTCGTAGAACTTATCATCGTCGACCGGAAGAAAATCTTCAAATATGGGATCCTCTGTCGCCAAGACCCTAGCAGGATTTGTGAAGTTCAAGAATCTGTATTCAAGATGCGTCAATTTGCTGGGTTATATGCAGCCGAGCATTACAATTTTCCCGAATCGGAATGACCAGGAAAAGGAAAATTGGATGGGAAGTGACGGACCGGTCCAGGTTCAAGATAGCCCACCAAACCCTTCGCTTCTCCTCAATCTCCATCCAAGACGCTGTGCGATTATGGTCTCCACCCAACCTAGTTTTATTGATCTTGTCCAGACCCATGGCGACACCATAACGGGCACAACCTCCGACCGTTAAATAAGCTGCAGGGTAGATCGCATCTCCGATCTCAAAAACTGCAATGAATATAGCGGCCTGTAAAACTTGAACACACAAGTCTTCTGTACTCTCCACTTCGGAGTAGAATTTCTTGATTGATCGATATAACGAGAGCCGTTTCCGGCCTTCATCATCATTTACTGGCAAGCAGCACAGCTTCATGCACAGATTTAGCAAGACCGTTGGACGTCGCGATGGTGATAACGGATTGAGTACAGCGGCTAAGTGGCGCTTCCGACTGACGATAGGCATCCATGTCATCTGGAAGAACTTGCGCGCTGTCTCCAGAACCTGCTGGCTATCGCCTAGGTGCCAGGAAACTTCGTCCGGAATGCTTAGGCCTAGGCGAGGAATTTCTAACCTAGCCTCACGGAAGAGATCGGGTGCGATGAAACTAATGGCGGCGTTCACAGCAAACGAAGAAGTAGACGAGACGGGCTGAAACTGGGATGCATTATTGCTTTGCGATACGACAGGCTCCACATGGGCTAAGTTGGAGTCATCGCCTGATTCTGATCCATGGACACCGCAGGGAGGCGAGGCAGCACGTTGGCCGCGTCTGTAGGGGTAGCTGCACTTCAAGCCTTTTTTGATACACAGCTGACACGTTGGCAGATTCTTGTCACATCTTCGCTTGCTGCGGCGACAAAAGAAACAGGAAGCGAGAGCATGAGACGTCATGATGGGTTAAAACATTTGATGTTTGTTACCACTAGAGCTTTCGGTGTTTGCGGAGGTTTTGCGGGTGTAGGCGGTATATGCATGACCTCATGATGTCCGCAAATATGTACCATTGAATCATGTGATTTTGATCTATGCAAATTGCTTACTAAATGTGTGCCCGGCCAGATTGTCAAGTACGGACCATTGTTGTTTCTAGTTAGAATTTTACCATCGTTAATTTACCAGTACGCTCGCCATACACCTGATTTCTATCAGATTCCTGTATAACGTAATCGGTAAGCGAGCCGCCACCCCACCCCAAAACGCGTCAATTAATTTAACCCTTCTTCTTTAACCGCCCACCATGCCACCAATTCGCGTTACGCACTACAAACTGGTCACAGTTAGGTTAGAAGGGTTCCGGGTATACTTGCCTTATACTCCTCAGGTTTCCAACGTCAACGATCTGTGCTCTCAACCGTACTGTTGCCTAACAGGCCTTACTGCAGACTTGGTCCTTTCAAGGTATCGAGGAACGGTGCCAGGTAGAGCGCCGAATAGATCTATACCGGAGTATTGGTCTATTCGTGAGTGTTGTCAAGTTATAATCAAGTAAGAGAGTCACCAGTAATACAAAAGGTAAACACAAGTACCAATGTATGATTGAAGACGAACAACTAAACTAAGTACATGAATGAGTGTCCTTATATATCCTTCGTTTCCTACTCCTACGTATACTTCTCAAAGTCGACGCGGGAGTCACGGTCACGTGCCCCTCGTTCCGTGCAGAGTAACTTCTGGTGTAGGTGTTGTCCGGTACCCTGAAGTACATGTGTACAGGAAATCTGCTGGCAGTGGGTCTGATCAGGGTTGACCATGCTTCTGCTCACTGAGCATGGATGAGTTTCTCCCATCTGAATACCTGGGGGCGCCGGAGTATTTGGATGCTGCACGTGATCTGCTGACAGATAGATTGGTTGGCTCTTGGTGGCCCATCTGTGTACCCGGTGGGGCACCATCGATTGGTGACGGGTAGTTCCGTGACAATATATTCTAAAGTTATTAAGTAGGAATTTTTATTTCCTTAGCTAAATCTCTTAATATCTCCCTTCCTAGACTAGCTATAGAAATTATAAATAGTGCGTTTTATAGCCCCTTTCCGATAGTATATTATAGTATTCTATATGACGGTAAGCCATAGGCCACTTCTGGCCTGCGGTCTCAGCCCCCGGTTAGGCGGAGATCGGTTGGTCTTCCGTGCTTCTAGGAGGTGCGCCCCAAGTGGGTCCGTAACAGCCGTGGGCTTTATGGGTGGGTGCAATTAGAATTTATTTTACCGAATTGCCACATTCCCACATAAATGTCCGCAGCGCCCGCAGATATCTGTAAATGACCGCAAGTTCCCGCAGACGCCCGCAAACCGTTGAAAATCATGATCTTCGTTTTAGGTAGGTTGGGCCAAACGGGGTACAATTATAATTTATTTTACCGAATTGCCACATTCCCACATAAATGTCCGCAGTGCCCGCAGATGTCCGTAAATACCGCAAGTTCCCGCAGACGCCCGTAACCACGTTGAAAATCATGATCTTCGTTTTAGGTAGGTGGGGTCAAATAGGGTGACAAAAATGCGGACATCTTGAGTCATACATACATGATGATGATGATGATGATGAATTCATTAACCCGATGTAGCTCGCCATTACATACTAGAGTCATACATACACCCCCTACACCCGCAGACCTCCGCAAACACCGAAAGCTCCAGGAGTAACAAACATCAAAAATTGCCAAGTTGCTTAGTCAAATTTATAAGCAAGACGTCATCAGGTGTTCAGTCCTGGGCATGCGTAGGACTATATTATATAGTCCTACGCATGCCCAGGACTGAACATCAGAAACAATTTTACATACATCGACAAGCAAGTCCGCTAAAATCCATCAGGGGGCAGAGAATGGCGACTCAAAGAGCAGTGATCATTGATGGTCCTGGAGTGGCTAAGGTAGTTTCGGATCGTGGCATTGCACCACTAAGGCCTGACTTTATGCTGGTAAAAGTCAAAGCCGTCGCTCTCAACCCTACGGACTGGAGGGCCGCAGACTGGAAGCCCCTGGACGGGGGGCCAGACACGAAAGGATGTGGACTCGGTGTGGATTACGCTGGTGTCGTGGAGAGAGTGGCTGATGGAGACAGCACCAAGAAATGGAAGAAAGGGGATCGTGTTGCAGGATCCGTACACGGAGGTAAATACTTCAACCCCAGTCCGTAAATGAAAAACCTTCTCACGAGACTTTATAGGAAACCCCGGTTTCCATGCTGATGGGACTTTCGCTGAATGGGTGAGTTTGACCGTCTATCCACTCCGAAAAATAGGGCGAACATAGCCTACTGTTATAATAAGATGATTAACAAGCGCAGACCGTTAGTCGCACCGGTGTGGCCCTTAGGTTACCCGACTCAGTGTCCTTTGAAGAAGGCTCAACCTTAGGTGCTGGACTTATATCCTGTGGCCAGAGCTTGTATCAGCAACTGGGTCTCCCGCTTCCGAACAACCCTACATCGGCACCTCTAGCGGTGCTTATCTATGGTGCCAGTACAGCCACTGGTACTCTTGCCGTTCAACTAGCTAAGCTGTAAGTAGTGCATACTGGATTTATATACGATCTAACCAATGATAGGTCCGGCCTCCGGGTGCTCGCAACTTGCTCACCCAGCAACTTTGAGCTCGTCAGATCACGGGGAGCTGACATGGTCTTCGACTATAACAGCCCAAGTGCCGTTCAAGATATCAAGACCGCCACCGATGACCAACTAGGTCTAATCTTCGATTGCGTTGGCGAGAAGAATTCTCCAAGTTTCTGCTTTGACGCCATGGGCAAGTCTGGCGGAAAATATTCTTCCCTGCTACCCCCGACTACAGAATGTCCGAGGAAGGACATCGCTGTATCCATGGTATTCGCATACACTGCTTACGGAGAGGCCTTCGCAAAGTTTGGACACGAATTTCCCGCGAAAATGGAGGACTATGTGTACGCATCCAGATTTTTCGACATCTGCGAGGTACTACTAGCGGAAGGAAAATTGAAGCCGCACCCGGTCGCACGTGAACCGAACGGGTTGGACGGAATTTTGGACGGATTGCACAAGCTGAGAGAAGGGCAAGTCAGTGGGAAAAAGCTTGTTTACTTAGTTTAGGAAAGGATGCCAACAATGGTGTTGGGTGCCGGGGTGCCTTAGGCACCCATGGACCCACAATGAGACAGATCCACCATGTAGATAGTTCTCTATCTCTCCCCTCTTCTTCTCTCTTCCTTCTTCCTTTCTCCCCCGTCTATTACAATCATTAAGAATCCATCATATTGTTTTCTCCAATACAATCCTGATAAGATTCTACAATAAATGGTCATTTCCCCTTTACCCGCTTATCGTGTCTACTTGTTGTACCAGCTCTTCTACAGGCAAACTCACGGAAAGCGGCTACATATATCACGTAGTTACAACAGAAATCGAGATAAGGTCTTTAAGGTCTTTAAGGTCTTTATTGTGAATATTAAGGTCAAAGGTATTCAATTAAGGTGTCGATGATAAGGTGTCGATGAAGCTATGACCTACGTGATGTCATAGACCGAAGGTATAAATGTAATAGAGCTTTTGTCTCTTAATGTAGTTAACGTACTATACGGGCGAATAGATCAACGGGCGAGTAGATTACTTTTACTAAGACTATACCATAACACCCTTACTATAATAATGCCCCTTAATAACGCTACTTAGACGTATTAAAGGAATGTTAGATATAGCTTAAATAATTATAGGTAGGACGAAGAAAAGGCTTAAAATACGCGGAACCGAGCTCTATATAAGCTGTCTATCTAGAGAAGTATCGAAAAGCTATAAGTAAGTATAGAAGCAAATAGAAATAGTAGCGGGTTACGCCTTACTTGATAATACGAATTAACGTGTCACGTCCTACACCATACAAAGTAAGGTGTAGAACCCGCCTAGACCCGAGATGGCACCTTTAAGGTGGACCTTCGGAGGTCTTCGGGGACCTACGTAGACATATCAATGGCCTACGAGATATATAGGTCTAATATATATGATCTCGCTTAGGCTACGTATATTATATAACTAGTGGCTTTAGAACTATAGATAAAGGTTTATAGTTTAGTTTGAATATATACGTAGTACTAGTTGCAATTACTTTATGGTAGTAATTCGTATTATATATACCCTTAGTACTCTAATTATATCCTTTATAAGACCCTTTATAGTAGGTCTTTATATTCTAAACTATCTTATTTTTAATTAGACCGCTACTAGTAAAATATAGTACCTATACGCTAAACCCGCGTAATTATAAAATAAAATAAAGAGACGCTAGAAGTAGCTATAGAAGATAACTTCGATATAGACCTTAGTATCTCTAAAGATAAATATAAAAAGGAATAATTAGATTTTATAAATCTAACTAAGCCTCTTATAAAAGAACTAATTTCTATTATAATTATTAAAGATAATAAAGAAATTAAGGATTTAAAGATAATAAAAGCCTATATATAATAGCTTATAAAATTTAAAAAGTATTTAAAGATATAAATATAAATAAAAAATATATAGTAGAATTAAATATAAAAACTAAACTAAATATTCTTTTAATAAGAATAGTATTATTAATAAATATAAATCTTAATAATAATAAAAAGAAATAATAAAATAAGCTTTAAAATCTTTTTAATATATTATATATTAAATATAAGATATTCTTTATATCTAATAAATATTATAAAATATTCTAAAAAAATACTCTAAAAGTATAAGATATAATAAATATATTTAAATAATTATTTTAGCTAATATCTATATTATTTTAAAAATAATATTATAAAAATAGATAAAGAAATTAAGATCTTTAATAATAATATAATAATAATATAAAATCTTATATTATTAAATCTAAAATATTAAAAATCTATATAAAATTTATTTAGTTTTTATAATATATAATAAATAATCTTTAGATTATTTATTAAAAAATAGAGAAATAATAAATATATTATTAATAAAAACTAGACTAATTAGTTATAATATATTTATTATATATTAATTAGATAATAAAAAATCTATATATCTTATTATTAAAATATATATATAAAATATATCTAAATATAAGTATAATTAATAATATTAAAGTAAAAGATTATAGATAGATTAAAATAAATCTAAATTATTTATATATTAATCTCTTAGATTATCTATAAATTATTAAATTAGATTTAAATTTATAGAAAAAGATTTTAAAACTAAATTAATTTATTTTAAAAGAATAAGATAAAAAAAATAAATAACTTTTTATAAAAATATAAAATATAAAAGAAATCTTATAATTTATATATAAAAAATTATAAAAAGAATATAAAAAGAATAAAAAGTTTTTATCTATATATAAATATTATTAGAAATATAATTATAAAAAAATAAATACTATTTTTTTTATAAAAAATCGAATAATAATATAAAAGATAATAGAAAAGATAATATAAAAAAATAAAGAATCTAATATTTTAAATAGTAGTTATATTAAAAATTATTATTTTAAATTTATAATCTCTAAAAGCTTTTATAAATAAGGCTATAATCTATATTAGAATAAAAAAAATCTTTATATATATCTTTATAAATTATAATATAAAATAATCTTTTATTAATTAGAAATAAATAAAATAGAATTTAAAAGATTTATAATTCTTATTATAAATTATTAAAATTATTAATAAATAAGAGATTAGATCTTATAAAATATAAAAAATAAAATTTAATTTAATTAATAATATAGATATAAAAAAAGTTATAATCTTATAATAAAAGTAGTAGATATATAAGAATATAATCTAATCTTAAGATTCGATTAATTAATTTATAAAAATCTATAAATAGATTAAAAAGAAGTTTTATAGTAGTATTATAATATATAAAATAAAGATAATTTTAAAAGAATTATAATAAAAGACTATATATAAGATCTATTATAAGATATAAAATATATCTTAATATATCTATAAATAGATCTAATAAGATCTATAAGACTAAGAGTAATATAAAAAAAGTCTTATTAAAGAAATATATAGATTTTATAGATATATTCGATCTTATAAAAGTAAAGATCTTAATATTATATTTAAAGATAGATTATATAATTAATCTTAAGAGAGATATATAATCTCTATAGAAATCTATATATTTATTATTTAAAGAATAACTTTAGATATTAAAAAAATATATTAAAAAAGCTATAAATAAAAAATAAATCTAATCTTTATAAAGTTTTATAAAAATACTAATATTTTTTATATTTAAGAAAGATAGAGGATTAAGATTATATATTAATTATAAAAGACTAAATAAGATTATTATTAAGAATTAGTATCTATTATTATTAATAGGAAAGTTACTAGATTATTTTATAAAAGCTAAGATTTATAATTAATTTAATCTTTTAGATATATATTACTATTTATATATAAAAATAGAAGATAAATAGAAGATAATATTTTATATAAAATATAGATCTTTTAAATATAAGATTATATTATTTAGACTTTTTAATATTGTTGAAGGCTACTGATGAAGGATGACCATGTATGTGTAATATGTAATGATATTGGTAATGATGGAGAAGAGAGGGAGAGAGAAAGAGAGAAGCTAATCTATCTACAATGGGTTATATGACCCTATATGATCCTAGGTCACGTGATTGGTTCTAATACCCCCTATGATCACTAATATAGATCGTAAAATAGAATACCCCCTAGAGTAAAGACCCCCTAGAAACCTCTCCTCTATAGATAATAAAGTAAGCAATTTTATTGCTTCGAGCTTAGTCGGAGACTAAGTTGATCTATAAATCGATAGAAAGCTATCGTACTAAGCGGCTTAGTAAGTCTATCGGCTACCTATTACTAAGTAGTAATATATTATAATATAATAGAACTAGAGGAAATCTCTTACTGTAAAAAATAATAGCGGATAATAATATATTTTATTCGTACGTAATACTCTAGATTTTTAGCGAGAGTAATTATACCGGTATTATCTATATTAATAATAACTAGCTTATTAAGTAAGGTATACTTTAAATTATATATATATAGCTTAGTAAGTAGTAAGATTAACTACCTAGCTTCTTAAATAGCTAGAGCCTATATAATATATTCCGACTCTATCGACGATAGAGCTATATAGGCCTATTTCTTAGAAACCTAGGAAATAGGACCCTCTACTAGGTAAAAAATAAAACTAAAGATTAATAGACTATTAATAAAGTATAGTCTAATATAATCCGTATTATAATAGCTATATAATTATAATTATCGAGAAGAAATATATCGATTATAACTAGTTAATAATAATTGGTTAAGTATTAAATCTAGAGAAAAACTAGGCTATAGACTAAGGCTAAGCTTAACCCTATTCGGTTTATTAAACTAGATATATAGATCTATAATACCTACTAGATATCGGAAAAGATATTTTAGCGCCTATTTATATTACTAACCCGGATTCCGAGTATACTTAGCTAATTAGATAGCTATATATAAAATATCTACTTAGGTTATTACTATTAACTAGATAATCTTACCGACCTTCTTTTAATAGAGTTTATATATATTAGGTATAGCTATCTTTATAAATAGGACTAAAGGATCTCTTTTATTAAAAGAAGTTACTATAGGCTTAGTATTCTATATATTATACTAATATAAAAAAGAAGTAATAAACTTCTTCTATAATAGTTTAATCTAGCTACTATCTAGAGATAAACGGTAGAGTATCTATATATTAAGATACTTTATAATAGGATCTTTATCTATTAAAATAAAATACTTCGATAGCTTTTTAATAAAGATATAAATAGCTTATTTAGATAGTATTAGAACTAATATATTATTAATATAGATAAGAATATAAATTAGAACCTTATTATTATTAAGCTATTTAATAAAAATAGAATAATCTATATAAATCCTTTAAAAACCTATCGAAAGTAGAGTATTATAGAGTAAGATATACTACTTCTATAGACTTTATTTTAGATTATAAATAATCTTTATTAGAAGACTAATCTTATCTTTTATAGTTATATATTCCTAAAGTTCTTATAGATCTTAAATATAGATCTTCTTAGCTTATTTAGC